TTTTTTGCCCCCCAGCTCCGATTCCCAAAGGGCCCCTTATTGCTTACCTGCTTATTGCTTACCTGTGCTGTATTGCTGGCCGCCCCATGGATTGCAGGTTCCCGATGTTCTCCTTCTTCAGGCTGGGCTGTCCTTGTGTGTGCCACATGGTTTGGTGGTCCTCGGCTTCCCCCGCCCTCATCTTCCCCTCCCCCCGACGAGCCTAGTTTAAAGCCCGCCGGAGGAGATCTGCCAACCTAGAAGAGAACACATGCTTACCTTTGGGGGACAGGTGAAGCCCATCCCAACTGAGCATGTCCCTCGTTGTGATGTGTGGGTTGTTGTCCAGGAAGACGTTCAAGCTTTTTCTCCCAGAGCAAAAATGGTCACTCTGGGAGAAAAATAACCCAGAAACAGCCAGGGTTAAAAGGTTCCTGGCAGAGTTTCTCCCAGGAGACTTAATGTCTGCATGTTTTCTCGTGGCTTAAGTCCTCCTGGGGTCCAGGATGAGTGGAATGAGGAGAAAGGCTCCTGTATCTTCCTAAGGCCAGGATCACCTGCTTGGAGAAGGTCAAGGGGCAGCTGCTCTCGCCCATCCTGTAGACTGGGAAGGAAGGAGTAACTACCAGCTTCTCCCTGCCTGCTTCTCACACCAGTGTGAGAAGTGGGCAGGGCCTTTGTTGCACTGATCCATCTGCTCAGCTCCTGAGCACAAGCAGCTAAGTGTCCAGCAGTGGCACTGAACCCTGCCTGCTTCCCTGGCCTCTCCCTACTTCATCCCCCCACTGCTTAGCTGAGCAGCTGGGAGAAGGAGGGCAAGGGGAAGCCAGGGTCAAGGAGGCTATCTCTGGCATAATGGGACAAAGACCCTCACCTGCTCCTCACACTGGAGTCCCAAGTGGTATGGAGCATGTGGGGACTTTGCCCCACTGCTGCATTTGCTCTCTTTATGTGTACTAAAAGCTGAGCAGAGGGAGCGCCACTATAATCCCCTGTCTGCTTCTCATGCTAGAGTTCCCAGTTTGAGAAGTGGACAAGGGGGCTTTGCCTTGCGTGGGAATGGGAGGACATTCCTATTGTGGGAGGCCCACAATTTCCTCAGGCTTGGATCACCTGGGAAAGGCTCAAGGAACAGCGAGGGGGCTGTTGTAAGCTGAATGTCTGTATTGCTCCCTCTTCCAGAAACATTGCTAGCAGTGGAAATTTTCTGCCACTAGAAATGAACATTTGTATAAATCCTTAGTTGCGTTTACTAATTTTAAACTTGTTTTCTAGTATTTGTTGCATACAAATATAAGATCTTATCCAAAGCAGGTTCTATTTTTAATAATTTAGCTGTTTAATTAGGGTTTGGGGAAAATGCATGGTGACATTGGTTAAAAGTAGTAAAAAGCATCTTTTGTTACCCAAAATGACAATACCCAATATAGATAAATTTGGATTAGCAAAGTTCTGTTTGGAGCTTGCAAATAATGTTGAGATGAGATGTTATTCTCTATATGGTCACAATATTGATAGCCATAGTGAACTAAAGTAATCTTATGTAATGTATTTCATTACTATGTTATGACAACAGTGGATAAAAATAAACCACACATTCTTATGAATTGTATACTTTGCATCCAGTTTCTTATAGAGTGCAGAATTATTCATAATGCGTTACATTTTGTGCATTCTTCAAACATATTACCTCACTGCTAAAGAATGCCTGAAACAAGTAACATAAATAGCAACTTGTCTATGTTATCCCCTTGCCTGCTGCTATTCTTTGTCTTTCAGTTCTGGCATCTTGTAGTTTGATTCAATTTACAGTGTAATCTTGGGACAATACTGTGTCTGTATTTTTTTTGCTTTGATCTCCCCATTCCCCCCATCCCTATGCTTAGGGTGCCCTAATTTCTAGCTATATTGCTTGAACTAATGAAAGATTCCCTGTAGTGAAAAACATTCCAGACCCGGGATGAATCAGTTGGCTAAGGAAACAGAAGCAAAGCCTTTCTACATCTTTTCCCATCTTCTGTTAATTCCATACCTCCTCCCCATCTCTTTCTACTGCATCCAATCCAGCAAGTCCTCTTTCACTCCATTTCAAGGGCCCATTTTAACAGTATCCAGTGTGTTGATATATTCCCACCAGTCAATCCATTCCCTGTCAGATTCTACTCATCTAGGATTGAGTAAAAACTGGAAATTCAGAGCCAGATTTTCTAGACATAGAGGTAATAGTCTGTGCACAGAAATACATGATCACTTTCGCGCCTGTTTTTTCACAGAAAAAAATGCACGTTCAGGTATGAGGCTTGACTGGAAACACCAACATACATCTTTAGTTCAATATTTATTCAACTTAGATTTTATGTTACTAAAATAAACCGCCTTGTGAGGAGATTACATTTTTAAGAAGACAGGTGCATTTTCTACTTAAGAGCATACCTGTTCATGATTAATCAATTATAATTAACTATATTACATTTATTTATTATATCAATTAAATTATAGTAAAATAAACTATAACTATTATACTATTTATAAAATGTAGTATAGGTAGAAAGTATAGAGTATATAGCATAGGTAGTAAATATAGTATATTTATAAAACTTTTATTAGTAATTAGCTCCTTGAGTTCCATTGCTCTCTCTCTGAGTTCCTTACAGATACTTTGAGTAAAGACTATTTTCCATATGTAAATAGGCAGTTATATGAAAAATTTAAATCCTTGGCTTAAATTTTCCCAGTTCATTTTGTATACAGGGTAACAATATTGCTGACCATTCCAAGTTTTGATAGTACTGTTTTGATATTTGTATAGCACATAAAGATTTTGAGGATGAAAAATGACTTTACAAATTATCTGAATAATTTAAGATGAGACATAAATTGAGTATTGTTTTGCAGCTCTCAGAAACAGAGTTTAGCGCTAACCAGTGATCTAAGTGTTCTTGAAATGACTCGCAAAGAACTTGAAAATCAAATGGGAACTTTGAGGGAACAGCATCAACGGGATGCAGCGAGTCTAAAATCTCTACTCACTGAGGCTGAGAATCAAGCAAAGGATGTACAGAAAGAGGTAAAGTAAAATATTTATTCCTGTTATGATTGGACCTTTTACCTAGCAGTTGCTTTTATGCTATTTAGTTGAAAATCAAATTAAAAAAATAGGAAGCAACTATAATATCAAAACTCCTCAATGTTCATACAAGTGGTTTTATGTTAGTTGTTCATGATTTAAAGTGGGGATTTGCATGCCTAGAATGGAAAGTGTATCTTAAGTTGCATGTGTCTGAAAATATTTTGCATATTTCCTTTTATATGCTATTGAACTACATTAGTGATGCACTGTTTTAAGCTGTGCACTGACGGTCTTGATTTACACAACTATGATTTGAGTAGGAGGTGGTCCATAGTCTTCCTTGCCATAATGTCACAGATTCTCAGTAGACCGTACAAGTATGAATTAACTGCTCTTAGACAGGTTGGCCTTTTACAGTAGATTACACTCACTTTTTCTCAAGATTAGGGATGTGCATCTTTTTCAAAGGTGAGGGCCCTTTATATTTAAATAGGGTCTGTCTTGGATCCTTGGGCTTTGGCAGGCAATTAGCAAGTGCATATGATAGAGCCAGAAATCCTTCAAATGAGATGGTTTGAAGCCCAGGGTCTCAGAAACATATCTAGATAAAAGTTATAACCTCTTACATTTACTTGCCTTATTCTCACAAATGCTGTTAATTTTTGTCCGATCACTGCTATTTTCCATATCTTTCTAGCAATCCCTTTCCTTTCTTTCTCATGAATTCACCACCATGATGTTTTATGCCATTTTCATGTTTCAGAAAAATAATGTAAATTAATCTTGTTAAGATGAAATGTTAAAACCAGTGGATATTGTGTATTCATGAAGGAACTAATCTTTATAGCTCATGTAGTAGGCCTGTGTCAATGGTCAAGTCTTCTCTCATACTTAATGCCCTCTGGTAGGCATCACCACAAAAAACTGAACCTAAGTATATCTTAAATCGGGTAGGCAACCCTCATCAAGGGTGCTAGAGCATGGCATGCAAAGGCATTTTGCTTGGCACATGTGCCTCCGGACAGACGGCGGGGAAAGGGCTGGGGCTGTGCTGTCATCACAAAGATCGGGCCCCTCGTGGCTCCCACGCTCTGCTCCTGCCATGCCAACATCTTACAAGTTAAGCTTGCAGGTGTTTTAGGTATTCTGCTCAAACACATTGCTTACCCCTGCCTTAAATGCTATGGACAAGCTTCTCTTGATGCAGGAATGTAAAATAGTGACCAAAAGTTGTGCCCATATTTGGACCACATAGAAGTTAACAGCCTGATGTTAATAGTGCACAATATTTGAAAATCTGCCAAGAACCCATGTTTATTTTTATAACCTTTTCAATTTTAATCTCAAGTCCAACTTTGTTGTGGGAGGATTTGATTGACCTTCTTACTTGACCTTCAGTTTGTTGCACCCATTTGACTGGTGCAGATATCTGCTTATATAACGATGTAAGAATTAACCAGAAATGAAGTAGGCTTCTCTCTCTCCAGTCCGTGGCTGGCCTGTATGGCACTTTGTGGCTCAATGAGTATTTACTTGGTGGTACTGTATTTACTAAGACCAACGCATCAGCTATTCACAGAATTTCTCTTAGATTTGGAGATTTTTGCCATTAAAGAGTTTTTCTAATGTGGAGTTCTGTGCATTGCCACAGAAGGGATACTTAATAGACTGTACACTTCTGGGCTAATATTAATGCATTGTTGTCCGTCCCGATTATTGATGGACATGGTAATAATGCATTGTGCTTGGTACACTACATACATTGAATATGTTTGGGTACTGTTCTGATGTAGTTGGGAGTCAACATACTGCGCTGACTTTCACCATTCTTCTTGAAAAGGGCATAACACCATTTATCCAAAGTATTATTTTAACCTCTTTGGTAAAAGAATCCACTAACTGTTTATCTCCAGAATACCCCAGGAAATTGAAAGTTGATGATGGAAGTATTGCTTCTTACTGTTAAAACAAAGCAGGTCTGATTTGTTCAGTTCCAGGACAGGAAATTTCCAAGGCAAAAACACCAGAGTCCTATACAAAGCAATTTAAGAAAAGGAGTAAAAAAAATTTTTCTTTTTGAGCGAGTTCTGAACTAAGGCCCATCACATTCATAGGGGCAGAGTATGGTTGGATATTGTTGTCTTTTGAATGAGATTTAAGAGTTCTGAAGTTGTGGTCAGTGAAGGTTGTGTGCCATGGTATTTAGGGTCATTTAGCTTCTACTTCTTGACTGTGTATAATTGTACTCTACTCATTTCTCGTGCAGTTTCCTTTGAAAAATTGTAATTTTTACTTACTTTTCTGATGTGTAGTGCAATGTGCTGCCCACTGTTAGCGGCACCCTTTGATCTAAGAAAGAGGCTACATTCCAGTGATAGGTGAAATATTTTTTGCTTGAAGTACATGTCATTTGTTAAAATCATTGTCATCGTGCAAGATAAAATATTATGTGAATGTAAGACTGCTTTTTTGTCTTACTTCCAGCAGGGTGTCAAAATTCCCTTTATTATCAAAAGGAGGAAGCAAGCATACCACTTCAGCTTGTGGGGATGAAATCCAAGTTAAAAGAAGATTATTTTAGTAAAAAAGAGAACAGAGTGCTTTGGTCTTATTTCTCTTTGGGAAATAGTCTTAACTACTCTTAAACAGGCCTTTCATCTGCTGTCTTTTTAAATACAAATATTAATTCAAGCCAAATTATTTTCAAATTTACTGCTGAAAATGAAAGTATTGTACCCAAAGTTGCTTTAACAGGGCTTATCTTCTCGCATCCAATTTAAACTGGGTCTGTAGATTGTTTTTTCTTTGCCTTTAGTATGAAAAGACACAGGCTGTACTCTCAGAGCTGAAGTTGAAGCTTGAGATGACTGAGCAGGAAAAGCAATCAATCACAGATGAGCTCAAACAGTGTAAAGAAAACCTGAAGCTGCTACAAGAAAAAGGAAACAATGTAAGTCTGTACAAACTGTGTATGGGCCTCTGGTCATGGCACGGTGGTGGCAATTCTCAGTTGAGTGAGAACATCTCTGTTTTATACAATAAAGGCTGGGTTTTCAAGAGTTGTACACAAACTATAGGAGCAAATTGCATGCCTGATGTGGCCATGCGGGTACTGTAAATGCAAATGATCATTTGTTTCTGAATTGGACATTTGCATGTACAGATTTGTAGATTAAGTATGCCATTCCAGTAAGTGTGCATACAGATTAAGTGTGTGGCATCATACAAAGGCTTATAATTGTCCTTTGACTGCTGCCTTTTTGGAAAAATCTGGACTAATTACTAGTGATCCAGAAGCTGGAAAAACATTTCCCTTCATAAAATGATGCAGAAAACATTTTATATGAAAGCCAAGAGATCTGGACCCAAAAAGAACTTTCAAAAATAAAAGGAAGACCCAACTTTCAAAGATAAAAGGAAGACCCAACTTTCCTAAGGATATCCTATCTGGATGGTGATTTTTTAAGCAGATTATGTTCCCTAACTCATGGTCATGCCTCTTAAGGGCACAGGTTCCTGGGGTGCTTGGCCTCTGTTGCACTTATTAAAGAACAAAGTGGAAATGCACTACAGTTTCTACCTCACTGTTTGGAATGCCCTCTTCTAGAGTAACTAATTTGAAAGACTGTCAGCAGGCTTAACCCAGCAGCCAGAGCCGTGATGGTGCTATGATGGCCAAAGTCCTCTAGATGCAACCAAGAGTGGCAGAGCTGCTTTAACTCCACTGTTCTAGGGTTTTTTAAGATGTAGTCGATAAAGAAGGAAAGCGAATGGGAGGCCATATTTAATTTTCCTGCCAGAGGCATAACTGGGCACTTGGGTGTCCTGAGTGGCAGTGGCACACAAGGAAGTATCATGAGCTGTGTTGCTAGCACCAGTGGTTAGGTCAGGCCTGCAGCACCGCTGCTGCTAGTTTTGTGCCCACCCAAGGATCAGTGCCCCCACTTCATTATGCTGTTGCTTCCTGCTGTTGGAAGTGTGACTGGTAATAGTCTTCTCTCACCATCTGCTTCTTGCTTGGGACCTTTCGCTAAACTCCTGCTAGAGTGTGAACAAACAGAAAGAAACCGCCTGCTATTTCAGAATGTTTTGAGTGGATGGATTGTGAGTAGTAGGCTCCTTGCCTTTGTCTTGTTAGGAACCTGGTCTTTCAAAGGCAAACTGAATAATCAAAAGGGGGACAATGGGGTAGAAGAGCTATGCAGGGAAATAGGAAAAGTGATGGAAAGAGGAAGATTTTCAGGGAGAGAAGGAGGTGTATTTATAAAAATAGGGGGATTCTTATGGGGGAAAAGAGGGACTGAAGTTATATATAACCAAGTAAGGAGCCATAACACTAGCTGAAAACCACTTCTAGGGAGGACTGGAAGAACTAGTTGCAGTACGAGCAGCACTACTGTTTGGGCTATGGCCTCACTGAAGAAGCTTCTATTTGACACACTCACAAGGTGACTTAACTAAATTTTAGGATTTTTTTTTTTTTTTTTTATGCTTGTGGATTGTCAAAAAACATCTCACTTGGTACCTTCTGCACCTGGCATCAGCCCCAGGGGCTGGAAGCTTTTACAGGTGCTGGTGATCACTTGGTGTCTTGAGTCACTCTTTTCTACCTCACTTTTGAGGAATGAAGGCCAAGATATTCCAAAGGAAGGTTCGCAACTGTAGAACTTACTCCCTTTTGGGCATATCAACACCTGAGTTTATGGGCATATTTTTAGTCAAGTATTTGCCTGTTTATCAACAGAAAGGAGACTTTCATTATATGATGATGCTTGATAAGGGAGTATAATTTATCATCTTTTTGGGCAATTGCATTAAATATGGTATTTGGTTATAAATTGTCATGCACCTAGATGCCACAGGCATATATACATACATATAATGAATAAAATAAATGCCATATAACCTTCTGTGTACTATAAATGCTAGAGCAGAGAATTTTTTTTTTACTCCAGTTGGAATAATTTTAGATGCCCACAAGTTCCTTTGTGTTTGGTGTTTTATAATTATGCATCACCTTTTTCCTCCTGGATGGGTGAAGCATGAATGTAAAAAAAGTTAGGTCATGTTCTGAAAGCATAGCACTATGGTGTGCTACATGTGTTTGCATGTTTGTAGTTACTGATTAGATTTGACTGGATGGATTTGTTTGTGAATGGTTTTAGAACATTTAGCTGCTTTTGATTCACTTAATATCAACTTTTTTTGAATACTGCATTGATTATTTCTAACAACACGCTTCTTTGATTTGCGACAGCAACTGCAAGACAATGATGCTGCATGAACATGAATTTATGATAGTTTCATATAATTTAAATAAAGGATATTTGCCTTGGTTAAAACAAATGTCAGCTAACATGAGATCGACGCTTGTATTGTCCAGGGTAGAACACCTACATTTTATGTTTATTGGGCCAAATTTGTTGTTTTACTATGAAATGACTGTCTTGTATTTCAAAAAATTCCCTGTAAATTTTATTGCAGAAAATCCTCAAACATGAGTTAAATATAAATTCATGTTTAGCTCTGTGAAAAATCAACATGGCTTCAACCCCAAAATCAAAAAATAAAACACAACCAAAACCCTCCAAAAAAAGACATCTATCATGATCTGAAGGGGGTGGGAGGGAAGTGGAGGGGGGGGATGTTTGTGTGTGTCTGTATTAACAGAGACACAGAGAAAACGGGTGTCTTTCAAGGCTAGTTTAAGAAAAAAAATCACTATACAATTATCATGACTCTGACAGTCATCTCTTTGAAACATTATTAAATTTATAATACTATGGATAATCCTTATCCAGTCCAAGCCTGAAGCATTACAGCCTTAAAACTAAGGGTGTTTTTACATATGCTCCAGGGGCAGGGGTGGGGGTGCTTTAATTAGAGCAGCTCAGAGATGCTCTAATTGAAGTGCCCAGAGCATCAAACAAGCTTTAGTTAAAGTGCCCCGCCACCATTTTGAAGCATGGGGATGCTGATACATGGGGCGTGGAAGCTGCTGTAGTGCACTGATTAGCACACTCCAGCAGACTCGATTAGTGTAGTAATTATAATTACAGCACATCGGAGCAGCCTCCCCACATGTCTACAAGCACCCTAACTAAACAAGTTTGAGTGCAGTGAAAACAAGGTCACAAAGTAAATGAGTTATGGTATCTTGATGGCCTGAAATCTGGAAAGTAAAACGCATTACTGTAGCCCAGGAGAACATGATTTAAATCCAGGTTGGGGTTCTCACAGGTAGGGATATTCACATTTAGGATTCCCAGCTGGCCTGTGCTCCATCACTTGGAGGACTTCATTGCTAATGTTGAGCAATATTGCAATGTCATGTCTTGACTACATGGCTTGCTGGGGTGATTCTGTCATAACTGATTCATTGGAGAAGAAAAAGTAATTTTTCTTGGGATTATGGGTCTTGAAATTGTGAGAAAATGAAGAAAAGATGAAAAATCTGTTATGCTGCTTGGACCTTCCAAATATGCTGATTCCAGTGTGTAGGGATGCCCGGATGAGGTGACTCAGTATAAAGGAAAACTCATGCTGCATCTTGCACCATTGAAATAAGGGAAAAAAAACCCCAAAACACTAATGTGATGAAGACCTGCAATCAGTGTAAATATAAGCCTCAATTTTGACCTGAAATTCTAAATTCCAAGTGGCAACAAAGGCTTCTTTAGAACATTTTTCTTCTTACTTCACTGTATTTTTAAATATCCATGTTCATTTGAGTAGAGTGGTGTACTAACTTTGTATACCAAATTAGATCGTGCTGTATCGTGGTAGATGTCTTTAATTCATTTCAATTAAAAAAAAAACCTCACTCTGTGACTTATTTCCCCCTATCTAAATCATCTTTACCTGATTGATTTTATAGCACAAAATGATTTTTAATATCCCTTCCCTTCTTTAGCCTTCCATATTACAACCCGTCCCAGCCGTATTCATCGGCCTAATCCTGGCTTTCCTGTATTGGTGTTACGGCCCATTGTGGTAGAGAAAGGTACAAGCACTACTGTTCAGTTAATGTATGTTTGTCCCTCTCACCTGTTTGTGCCATTTCTGTAAAATATGCATGGTGAAGTGCTCACAGGATTTACCTGAAGCAAACCCTTCATTTACTATACCATACTTATGGTACTGACAAGCTGAGCAACTACTAATCATTTAATGTTTGTGTGGTTTCTTGTTGATAATTCTAACAATGAATTAATTTCAACCCTAACCAGTTTTGAATGTACCTCTTTTCACTTGGTCTTGTTTGTCTTTAGCAAAATGGGGTAAATTCTTATAAAATGTTGCAATGTCAGGACCTGAAAACCCCCCCCAAAAACTGATTGCTGAATCACATGTGAAAAATGAAGAGTTTGCCTCTTTAAATAGCAATTTGGTCCCTTTTTTCTTACTTTTTGGATTTAGAAATTCCTTTCTGACTTTAAACACTTCTTCACTTTCTCACTATTGCTGTGAAGAAGATGGAAAAAGGACAAGATGGGAATGACAAATAGGTGGTGGGTTTGTATTCTTAATTCTCACCTTGCACTACATCCCCAGTGTCTCTTAGTATGTCTTCTGTAAAACGTTGTCCTCAATCTAAGATACCATTCAAACCCATTGAAAATTATTTTGATAAGTTCCACTAAACTTATGTCACAGATCCAGCTTAAAAACACAAAAGCAAAGAAGTTTAAAATGTCATCATTTTGTCTAGCAGTTCTTTGGCACAAGCTATATTGTGAGCATATTCAGCCCTCTGTTGTTTAAGAGATGTTCTCTTTGGGGTGTGTTGTAATGCACTTGGAAATACAGCACTAACAAAGAATCTCTTGCTGATGTTCCATCATGAAGACTTGTCTATTGGAATACCTTGTGCTAGAAAACAGAGTTTAACCCCTTGGTGCCAAGAGTCAAGATTTCCCAACAGTTAAGGGCTCATGGGAAGTATATTAGTGATACTTACCAACAGGTGCTCAGGACTTAAGGAACCAAGGGGTTAACTGACTAGTGTGAACTAGAACAAATATGACATTGATTTTTTCTTTCTCTCCACACAGAGACAATGGCCTTGGATGCCTGTGCTGGCAGCTTTGGTTGCTGTAACAGCCGTGGTGCTGTACCCAGGCCTAACCAGAGCTTCTCCATGAGAACTGTTGTTGAATCCATACACCGTCCTCCCTTTTAGAAGCTGGCATCACTCACATACTGGGGGAAAACAGATTAATTCTCTTCCTTTTTACCTCTTAATACAATGCAGCTCTGCGTGAGAACAGCAGTAGGGTCATTTGCTTTAAACTGTATAAAATGTATCTGTCTATAAAGAGGGAATAAAATTGTGACTTCATTCTACTGTGAGCAATACTTTTGCTTACAATTTCATGTAATTTTTAAATTGGTATGTTGGGATTCTAAATACTATAATGGTGGCCTAAAATAGGCTTCTTGGTACCAAATTATTTATAATGGTTAGGTTTGTGGATATTTTGCTTTAGAATCTGATTGCCAGGTTTAAAAGATAAACTTGCTTTTCTGATTTGGATACCCATGCCAAATAACCGTGTAGCTACTTGGAACACATGTGGTGTGCTCAGTGCCTTTCAGTTTGGGTTTTTTTTTTTTTACATTAATATATACCATTTGACTTGCTGTCAGTCACTGAGCTATTGGGAACAAGATAATGTCTCTTTCCAGGCCTTTTGAAGGAAGCAAATAATTTTCTTTGGTGAGGATTTTGTTTTATTAATGATTTTGGGGAATAAATACAGTTCATGTCCAGCCTTAAAGAGATAAGATAGAGAAGACATTGATGGCAAACACCAGCCTAGAATATTTTGTGTGTGCGTGTGTGAGTGCAAGCATGTGTGTGTTCTTGAGTGAACTAAAAGGTATTTCTGGGAGCAAATACTTGGTCATTTGATGGACATAGTGCAGTGATTCAACTATGTTAACTTTAGTTTGAATGTAATTTATTAAATTTCATATATTTAAAGAGACATTCTTTAAATGTATGAGTACTTTCTCACATATCACATTTTATCCATTTATTTTTTTCAATCATTTAATACTTTCAAAATTGAGCTGGAGAAGTAATATTTGTCTCTTTAGATAAGCTTTTATTGACATAACTTCATTAAGAAAACTGCAAGAGTGCATATATGATTAACTGAGAAAAAAGATTCCATGGTGGACAAAGTAATTGCAAAGCTGGAATCAGTTAACTGGTCAAGTGTGCATCAGTTGATGAGATTAGTTTAATTTTGGTAATTAGAAGCTTTGCATCAACATGGCCTTAAAGTACAATACACAGTGGTCCCCATTAAAATGTGTATTTTCCTAGTCTAAGAGTTAACTGTTGTTAATTGTTGACTTTAATGAGAACCACTGTAACTGAGCACTGAATTTAAATGTTGGCTACAAGTTGTCTTGCGCAACTCAACAGCTCTAACAAAAATGTTTATTAAGGACTTGTACAGTATGCTAAAATGGATTGCAAAGGAAAATGGTTTGGTTAAGGGAAACTTCAAAATAGGAAGATTATCTCAAAGATTTATTTGGCTTTAAAAGATTAATGGCAATCAACAGATCTAGTTAAATATTTAAATAGAAATTTAGTATATAATTTGCCTTTGTGAGGTTTTGAGGGTCATTGTCTGTCCTTTTAATTAAAGGTCCTATCTTAAGCTACTTGGGATTTGCTAATGGGAGGATCATTAGATTTTTGGAAAAAATAGTCCACAAGTGACTCTTAGAAAGTGTTATTATCATCTAGTTTGTTTCTTTCATCATTTTCAGTTGCAGGAAGCCACCTCACCACAAAACACTTGTTTGCCAGTGGTACTCAGTACCTCTTGTATATAGGTTATTGCAAATATTGTTCTGAAATGCTTAACTTCAGAATTACATTTTTTAAAGTAAATAATTGTTTTAAATCTATTTTGTAAAGATATAAAAAGTACAATAGAATTTCTGGAGTACAGATTAAACTATTTGCACTAACACATGTGATGTGCATGATTTAATAAAATAACTTTACTCTCCCTGTGCATGTTTGAGTTGAATCTCATTTGAAAACAATAGATTTGTGCTAAATTCATTGCGTATTAGGCATTGCTACAATTATTAGGCACAACATACACAGCATGTTTGGTAGGACTGAGAATCAAGAGATTTCACATTGCATCTCACATATGCGTTGTTTAGATCTGAATGTCTTGTACACCACACTTGTCTAGTTCACGTCTAGTTCTCACATCTAGTTTTAAGGGAAAAAGAAAGGTGTGACACAGGTCTTGGTGGGGGTTACTGCCATAGAAAAATCAGGGGGGAGGGATTTTTTGGAAGGTGGAACTTTGTGAGAGCCTGTGGTAAGGGTGGAAAGCCAGGGTAGGGTGGTCAGGGAAAATCTGAGCTAGCTGGGGAGGGAGTTATTGAAGGCATGAGGAGCTTAAGGTAGTCTCTGTACTTTGCCTTCTCTCTTCCTTAGGCTTTTTCATTTCTACTTTTCCCATTTCAACCCTTGTTTCTTTGCCCCCAGCCTTCATTCACTTGCATCTTTCCATCGCCCATTCTTAATGCGTTTCCACGCAACTCTCATGTCAGTAGGGGGAGCAGAAGGGAGGTGTATCATAACGGGACTGGATATCTGAAACACCAGTTGCTTCTAGTAGCTAGAAAGAACTGTAGTCAATCCCTTTCACACTCTTGCAATTCAGCTGTAGGTCTTGCATGACAGGGCTACCAAATATGCCACAAAAGCTGCCTGACACTTGGCAACTTCATTTTACTGTGCCATAGATCTTATTTATAAGTGACCTTTTGACTTGTTTTTCAGTAGTCGTCATAACACCAAACAGCTAAAATAAATCCAGTATGTCTGTATTCAAGGAAGAAAACAGGTTCTCAGTTTGTTGGAACTCCATGCATGTGTGCATATTTGTATTCAGATCATGAACACAGGCATAAATAAGTAATCCACTTTTGCATGGATTTGTGCATTTGCATCTGCATATAGAGTTACTGTATTTCCTCACCACAGTGGTATTGCTGAGATCTTCTGAGGTTTGCATGTTTAAAAGTTTATCAGGGATGAGTTAATATGTGAAGTGCACTCACTTTCTTAGGGTGATCCCTGAGAGATGATTGGGTACTGTTGGGAAGTTTCCAGTCATGAGCACTTTTATATTGAAGGGAACACAATTAAAAAAGCTTCCTAACATAAAACACCCTCCACCCAGAAACCTGTTTTACAGCTGAATGTTGTTACTTATGCTTGTGCTATATATCTTTGCTCACTTACACACACACTTATCCTTTTGGAGTTACACAGTTTAATAATAGCCAACTAATTAGCTTGGACTAAGGGGTTATGACAGCCCCAGAGGAGAGCTTTTCACAATCCTTCATGAGCCTGGATGCTTGCTGCAAAATGATGAGTTCTCTCAACTTGCATTGAAGTTGATGACGTTAGAAAGGCCCTCAACAGCTTGCAGGGTGGATTCCAGCAACCTTTTTCATCAGTGACATGGGGCTGCTAGGAAGAGTTACACTAATAAAACATTTCCTGTCTGAATAAATTAGAACTGCTCTATGTTCTAACACAGGGGCGGGCAGAGGGCCACTTACTGAGTTTTGGCAAGCCATCGAGGGCCGCATGACAGGCAGCCCAGGGCACATAAATATTTTCTAAATTTTTTAGGGTCCCTGCAGGCCGGATAGAATGGCCTGGTGGACCACATCCGGCCCCCAGGCCACATTTTGCCCACCCCTGTTCTAACACTTAACTTTGTCCTTCAGTCCCTACTGATGAAAAGTGTTTGTTTAAGGGGGAGTTCTACTAGCATGAGAATTATACTGTCAGGCCTCTTACTCCTTTGAATTATGAATAGAATAAATTAAAAGAAAAATGATGGACTTTTTACACGTTCCATCTGTTTGAATTATATTAAATATAACCTCTCTTCTGTAGCATGGTTGAAATTCTTCTTGCTATCAAATCAATGACCTGAGCCATCTGTTCCTGGGGTTTCTTTTGTTTTTGTTAAATGAGCACAGAGTTATGGACATGCAGAGTATATTTTGCACAGAATTATTTCATGAAGGAAACGAGCAGCCTGTCAAAAATGATTCAGTATCAGATAAAGTGCTATATGATGGCTGGAGTAAATGTAATTAACCTTCTGAGAGTGAATTTCTGAGCACTAAATTTATTTTCTCACCTTTAACCAAATCCTGTAGAAATGCTGTCACAGTTTTAACTGATTTGTCACTGACCATCATCTGTCCTGCTGGCCTCCCTCTATAGAACTGTATTGCTTAAGACAGTAGCTTCTTTAGTTTGGGACCTTCCCCCCACACCGCCCTCCGACCAAGCCATCAGACCGTGCTGAAACACCAGGTTGCCGGAGTCACTGTTGACAAGTTGTCAAAGGTTGGAGTCTCTAAGAGTGGGTGTGTTACCTTCTTTTTTGTATGATATTATCCGTTTTTCTAGTTTCCTCCTCCTTTTAGTCAGCATGGCGTTGCTTCTGCTACTGCAAGTGCTGTATCTTAGATCTGATCCCAAGCTATGGTGGAAACTAATTTATTGTCAGTGATGCCTCTTACCTAAATAAGTATTGCCCTGATGCCAAAAGGATTTAGAGCCTTCTATGAGAGATGTACGGCAGTAATAATACAGTGCTGTCTTCAATTCCTTCATTAGCATTTAGTTAACAAAATGGCCATTGATGCTTGCTTAGAACCCTGCAGTCCATCCTGCCTGTTCAGTGTATGTAGGGGAGAAGATGAAATATATTGGCCAATTCTGTAGTTCACAGTTGTTTTGATTTCCACCCCACCTTTATCAGTTCCCCCCCTTATTGTTCTGTTTAACTTTTCAGCAATTCCCCCAGATTGGTGGAGTGTAGGTCAGTGTTGCCTTGACTTCTAACAGAGTGCATCATATTTAAGTGAGAAAGGAGCGTTGTTGGCTTTAGTTAGCTAACATAAAGTGCAATCCTAGTGAAGACAATGAAACTTGTAGTTTTTCACAAACTAGTGAGGAGGTAGAGTTAAGGATATAGTAATTTAGGGTTTATCTTGACCTTGCTAATGTGTGGGGGAAACTACAAATTGTCTCATCTTCCCTGGGATTTTACCCTGTGTTATTTCAGTCAGATTAGTTAATGACAATTAACTCGTTAATACTCAGAGACTGCTACCTGGAGAGAGAGATTTGCAGGTTGTTTTAGAAACAGTGGAGGAGAGAATAGACATTAACAAGCAAAATAAAACTGGACCAACCTGGGGTAGGCAACCTTTCCTAGCTGCAGGTCAGAATGACCCACCCCAAGTTAGAGGTGGGTGGATGGGTGTTAGGACCTGGCGCTTGTTCCCACAGCAACACAGGGAGAACCTGTGTAGCTGAAACCCCCTGCTGCTGAATGCTGCCAAGCCCCTACATCCATGGGCCTGATCTAATGGTTGGATCTGGCCTCTGGGCCAGAGGTTGCTAACGCTGATCTCAGCTGAAATTATTTCATGGATTATTGTAGAGCCTCCTGTATAACAGAAACCATAATGCATTACAAAGTAATTTCTACTTTGAGCCTATGATCTCCAGATGAGTTGCAACATTATTTTAGGAAGAGATCTAGTCTTGATTTAAAGTGAAGGGAAATTTATCACGCTTCTGCAAAAATTGCTGCAACAAGTCTTTAACTTTGATATTAAAAATTGAGCCTGTTTCTAATTTGAATTTGTCAAGCTTTCATTTCCCATCACTCTTGCTGCACCTTTTCCCCTAGATTCAAGTTGTTTACTAATGCAAATGTCTTCCCTATTCACATATGTTTAGACCATAATTGAGTCACCTTTTAACTTACTTTTAGATAAGCTAAATGACCAAGGCAGAGTTTCCATGCCTCTAATTGTTCTTGTGTCTTTTTTAAAAACTTTTTCTAATTTTTCACTATCCCTTTTGAAGTGTGAATGCCAGAACTGGATCTGCTGTTCCATAGTTTTTTCACTAATGCTATATACAGGGATAGTGACATTTTTGTACTCATACTTGATATTTATCTGCGTTCTTGTCCAAGGATCATGTTGGCTTTCTTAGCTACTATATCGCACTGAGAGTTCTGGTTATTTACCATTGCCCCTAAGTTACTTAGAAGAGCGCCACTGCATTTCGGGATACTATCTCTAGTCCTGCAAACAAGACCTATATTCTCCACTCCTGGATATATAATCTTTCATTTGATAGTATTGTTGCTCAAACGAGCCTGCCCCATCAAGTGACCAAGGTCAGCCTGAGCAACTGACTTGCCCTGTCATTTGTCGGACCACCAATTCTTGTTTCACTTGCAAATGTTACCAGTAATGCATATGTCATTTCCTCAGTGTTACTAATAAAAATGTTGCAGAGCACTGGATCAAGAACAGATCCCCACAGGACCCTACTAGTAACACCCGCATCACAGTTACAGTTTGCAGTCTGACATTTCACCAGTTCTTATCAATTTCATATCAGCTTTAATTGACCCCCCTCCCCCCAGTATTGGTACAGCATTTGTGTTTTTCCCCTGTCTTTTGGACATTCCCTAGTGTTCCAAGATCTGTTTTAAAAAATCATCTTGAATAGTTCTGAGGTCCTTTGCCAATCCTTTTAATATTATTATGTGTAAGTTTTCTGGTCCTGCAGATTTAAAATGTTTAAATTTTAATAGTTGCTAATGCAATAGCTCCCAAGTTACTAATGGAATAGAAAATATTTCCTCATCACTTAAGGATATGAATACAGCATCCTGCTTCTTGCCAAATAGAGACCAGGAAGTTATTGAATATTTCTGCCTTTTTTGCAGCATGATCAACATTTTTCTACTTTTATCTATAATTGGACTCTTGTATTACTAATTTTTCATTTTGTCCCTCATGCATTTAAAGCAGAGCTGTCCAACTTCTGAGTGGCTGTGGGGGGCAGGCTTCCTGGCCCCACACACTGTAGACCACACACCCTCTATATTGCATGCTGTGCCACGTTGTACACGCCCACCTCCCACACTGTGGGCACCCCCCTGTGGCCCCATACATGCTATGTCATGTCACATGGGTCCCCCTGTGTCACACTGCCTCACAGGTACTCCAATGTACCATGCCGTCACCCTGTGCAGCCCCACATGGGCTCTGGGTCCCCCCAGGCCACCCAGCCACAGGTCCTCTAGGGGTGGGATCAGGCAGCAGAAGCTGGAGAATGGAAGGGGAGCCTGGAGAGTCCGGTGGCAGCAGTTGCTGGAGCAGTGGAGAGAGCAACTCTTGGATCAGGAGCCAGGGGCTGCAAGTTATCCCTTTGGGGGTGCCTGTGGGCTGCTAGTTAGACAGGCCTGTTTGAAAGCATTTAAAGAATTCCATTTTTATTATTCTCTTCTCTTTGCTATGGATTTTTCACAGTTTCCATTTATTTAAACTTGTTATGTGTTCTTAATTGCTACTTTCACTTCTCGTCTTGACCAGGAACATTGATAACCAAAGACGCCACCTGATGTGATTGCACAATTATGTGGGGTTAGTATCTAATAAAGCGTTCTTAAACAGTTCCCAACTGCTGTTCGCATTGTTATGTTAAAACACTTCACACTTGGTTTGGTCCTGGGTTACTTTCAGTTTGGTGTGTGAGAGAGAGAGATGCGTAAAAATAACAGATTGGAATTGTTGTGTGAAACAAATGTATAGTCATGATCACTTGCACTTAGGCAACCATCAATTTTTAGTTCAGTAATCAGTTCATCCTTTTCTGTCAGAATGAGATCCAACATAGTATTACTCTGCATTGGCTGCAGTACCTGCATGTTGTTTCTCAGCAATTTCACACGTTTTACTCCTGCATGGAACAATTCCAGTTGGAACGTTTATTTGTAACATTTGTCAATGGATTAAATTGCACTAACATTTGTTAGTAGCTATTTGGAGCCTCTAAATAATGTGCAAGAACTTTGATTGCTAATTAGTAGCAGGAGATAATTTGGCAGTTATAAAAACCAATTAAAATGTACTCTTTTTAGATTTTATTGTATTATTACTATGCTTTATATCATGACCTGAGATTTGTACAATTAAAGTCCCATTAACCTGACTTCTTAATTGTATGATGACCCTCTCTCCAGCATTCACAGCATTAGGACAGTACTTCATACGTTGGGTGAAAGGCCTTATCCAGCTGGGATGTAAGTACTTAGTACAATGGTGTTAGCATGACCTGCCCTTGAGCAGAATGCCACAAGATCATGTGTGCCTGCAATCTTTCACAGCTTATGTAAAAAGTTAGCGCACTAACCAGTCCTGTGCCATTTTGGAGCATTGATTCATAATTGTAAGGAGCTGGAAGGGACTTTGCAAGATCATTGGGCCCAGCTCCCTGCACCAGGCAGGAAAGACAGCTGGGGTCAGGTCCCCCCAGCAAGGTGACCGTCCAGTCTCCGAAGATTTCCAGGGTCGGTGATTGCACCACCTCTGGCGGGAGCCTGTTCCACGGTCTGGGCAACCTGACTGTGAAGAAGTTTTTCCTAGTGTTAAGCTTAAAATGGTCTTCCAGGAGTTTGTGGCCATTACTCCTGGTTTTCCCCATGGGTGCCCTGGTGAACAGCTGTTCACCGAGCCCTTGGTGTACTCCCCTGATATAGCAGTAAGCTGCTACCAAGCCCTCTCTCAGCCTTCTCTTTTTTAGGCTGAAGAGAGCCAGGTCCCTCAGCCTTTCCTCATATGGCTTGCCTTGGAAGTCTCTCATCATATGGGTGGCTCTTCTCTGGACTATCTCAAGCTTTTCCAGGTCCTTGTTGAAGTGCAGTGTCCAGAACTGGACGCAGTACTCCAGCTGCGGTCTCACCAGAGCTGAGTAAAGTGGAAGAATCACTTTTCTGGTTTTGCTTGAGATGCATCGGTTGATGCATGCCAGAGTATTGTTTGCCCTGCTGGCTACAGCATCGCACCGACAGCTAATGTTCATACTATGGTTTTTTATTACCCCTAGGTCCCCTTCAGTCGTGCTAGTCAGTTTGGCGCCACCAAGCCTGTAAGTATGTTGTTCATCCCCAGATGGAGCACTTTACACTTCTCAATGTTGAACTTCATCTGGTTCAGTACCGACTCAGAAGAGTTGACATCTACTAACTTGCCAACATCACTTTCTGCTGTGTCAAGGTTATTTGTGGATGGCCTCTTACGTGATATAGCTAGTTCCTATGCTTTTGTGGTTCTTTAGGGGCATAGTCTGAGAGAGCATGGTTTGTTTCTGCCCTGTGGCAAGGTTGGCTATATGAATGTACCAGTGGAGCCTCAGCTGCCTGGTCTCATTTCTTTTTTTCCATTAAAAAGGAAAAGGTTCAGTAGCATGAACCATGTTAAAACACTTCTGTGAACTCATGGTTTTGACAGGTCTGTTTACTTTAAATTGTATGCGTATAGTTTGCTGCTTGTAACATGTCTAATACCCTTCCCTCCCTTCCTTTCTCCTTTCTTATCCCCTTCTGCCAAGCCCTGGTGCAAAAAATATCTTTCATGGCATGGAAGCAAAAAATCAATCAAGTAATTGCAGGGCTGATTCTGTAACATTAGGTAATGCGGTGGGGTGGAAGTGTCATGCAGCTAGCGAGTCGGTAATGATTCTGCATCAGCTGGTATTATTGCCAAGTTAGTTGTGCAGTTTACTGACTGACGATTGTTTCCTTAGCCTGTATGTAGCCATTTTAATTGACTGGCATTATTTCTCAGGTTGAGTACTTGTACAGCTGCAATCTAAGCATAACTGGGGACTGACCTAGGGATTTTTCCCTTGAAATTCTTTTCCATACATGTGGGAATTGCAAATGGCACCTAAAAGGGAAGCTGACCCTTGGCAGTTTCCAAATTATTCCTTTGGGCATTGTAGATTTGCCTGGGTGGGATATTTAGTTTGTGAGGTTTTAATGCTTTTAAGTCAGACTTTGTAACAAAGATCTTTCCTCTGCAGATTTCCTTTCCTTGCCATTTTTGTGGAAAAATTATTCCTCATAATATACAATGGAAGTTTTTTGATCACATCCTTACTATTTTACTAAGAGAGTTTTAGAAGATACTAATGAGGAGATGCTGACTTAAGTACTATTTCAAACCTAGAGAATGGTGATTATAAATAAGGGTTGTTACCATTTGATGCCTACCCCTGGGTTATTATAAAATAAAATGGTCTTATTTGGATTACATTTGCCTTACTAACAGCACTGACAGAAAAACTAGTAATCGGGAAAGGTGGTCTGGTAGGGAATGCAACTGAGATTTGTTCTGGTTCATTGATTCACTTCTAACAAATGCATGGAGTCTTGCATCTCCTAGGAATATGTGGTTTTTAGCCTCATTACCACTCTTAACAAAGGGAGTGGGCAGATCTTTGTTTTTTTACAATTTGCATCAGGATAGGAGATGGGACTACAGTGCTAAAGATACGTCTGGTCATCTATACACAAACAGACCAATAGTGTGTGGTTAACTTAGTTTCTTTAAAGTTAGCTGTTTCAGTTCCCCACAAATAAACTGTACTAGGTGAAGATTATTTATCATGGTGAGTTTTGTTTTTTTAAATTTAGACAGATGATATATTAGAAAGATGCTGCCACTCTGTGTGTTTGAACAAATTCCCAACCTGTAAATATGAGTAGACCATTCTGGGTTGGTGACCTGCTCCTCTCCTTCAGTGCAGCAGCTCTTTCATTCTGCCAAGTGCAGGCTCTCCTTGGAGTAAGGATAGTAAATCTCTAGTCCTTTTTGTTTAGTATTTTTAAGGTTTTCTTCGCAAATAAAACAGATGTGGGGATCCCTTCCTCCATGTGCTGAACCTGAAACCTGAGCTTGTCAGAGCAGTTGCCCCCATACTCTCAGTGAGCGACAGTGTAGGTGCCCGGTGGTAGTTTATGTATTTTGCCAGCAGTGCAGTCATTTAGGACAGGATCTTAATAAAGCTATTGTGAATGGCATCTAATTTTGGTGTCTTGAGTATGGATGATGTTTGAGAAGGATCCCCGCCTATCCGCTGCCAACGGAGCCAAAAACACAGAGGAAAGAGCCCTACTAAGAGGCTGCCAATCCCCTCACCACTGGCCGCTTTAATACTGAAACCAGCCAGTCCTGGTCCTGGGAGAGCAGTGTGGGATAAGGTCTGCTCCGCAGGGTGTGGGACCAGGCAACCCATGTGGTTATAGGCTCTGGAGGCTTTCCACAGCCTGAGGCAGATGTGGTGGCATTAATTAGACTCTGCTCTCATTTTCAGGCTTTTCTTTGCAATCAGTGGGGCTAGAATTTGTAAAAATGCAAATCCCAAGTTTCTGCTGCTCTCAGAAAGCTGCTCAGGGGCTTCTTCGATGCTTTCCTGAAGTGTAGGGAGGGCCTGTACCTGGTCTGCCCCAGCATGGTCTGAACTCTGCCGAGAGGGAGCCTAAGCTGAGGACCCGAGCGATCAAATGCTGAACTCCTGCATGTTCTGGAGAGTGTCTTGTTTTCGTATCTCAGGTCCTGGACTTTGACTTGTGGGTAGAGCACAGGAAAGTAATGGCTCTTCTTTCCACTTGAGCCCTGGCTCTAAGTGCATTAATTAGGTAAGTGATTTACCAACCCATTTGCACTCAAAGGATGTGTGTTCAGTTGCCCAATTTTAAAAAATGTGCATTTTCCTGACAGTGTGTTTTATTCAAATCCATTCTATGGCACTAACAGCCTGGTGCCAGTGCCCTTCATACATATGAATTTATAGGGAAACTAATTACATAATATCCCACAGTGGCAGAAGGAAATTGTGTTTGAAACAAATTATCATTTGAATTTTTCAAGTAACAATTGAAGCTAGTCATGTTCTTAAAATTCAGGATGTCAGAAGGATGTGGGAAGTAGCTGGCATCTAGTGTCTAACGTGCTGGGGCCTCTGCGGAAGCTGTGGGCTGTGAGTGTGATAGGCAAAAGGGAACTGCTCTCACACCGCTGCATTTCAGATAGTTAGAGGCCTTCTGGGTACACAAATGCTGATCCAACTGGAAGAGAAGGTTTTAGCAGTTTTACACACTGGCTGCCTTGTGACTCTTACAGTTGTTCAAAATGGGGAAGGTTATTTATTCTCCCTTTCATTCTGTCCCCCTCCTGTCCTAAGTATTGCATGAAGGCTATGACTTTTTAAAACGCCCAGAGCCTTCAATAACCTAAAAGCCCCAAACTTAATTTTCAAAGTAAGTTGACAGCACATCTTTTTTGGTGAAAAATGCTGCACGTTCAGCTTTTTTGAAGGAGCCAAATGTGATTGAGTTTTCTTCTCCTCTTTTGTTGAAGGAGACTGTGCATCTTGGGGATTTATATGGCTTTTTGTCATCATACCTGAGCACCTGACAGTCTTATCCTCTCAAGACCCCTCAAAGGCAGGAAGCTGCTATTGCCTTATTTTATGAATGGGCAATGGAGCACAGAGAAGTTGTTTCCTCCAGCATCACACAGGAAATTGGTGGTGGACCTAGGCTGTGAACCAGGTTCTAGACTTGTTGCTTAATTGTTGAACCATCCTTCCATTCTAGATACTAATAAGTGC